AAACATAATAATATGTAGTTAGTTAGTCAATTTTTACATTACTGTTTTATTTATATAAATAATTTAAAGGTTTTTTAACCTTTTAATTTTTTTAATATATAGATTATTATTATCTGCATTTGTTTTGCTATAAGGAAGTTGTGGAAAGACAAAAAAAAAAAAAAAAAAAAAAAGGAACCACATACGTTGATATTACCCTATTTTTTGAACTATTTTAAAATTATTTATTATTTATAAAAACTGCTGTAAAATTATTTTAAAAAACAAAATAGTAATTTAGTATTTGACCCTATTACATAGAATTAATTTTAATTATTTATAAAATTTATTTTTTGTGGTGCTATAAGTAAAATATAGATATGTATAGAATATAGATATATATTATGATTAAAAATATAATAACTTTTTACTATTATTTTATACCAATTAATTATTTCAAGAAATGTAACTTAGACACATCTATCTATCTATATATATCTATATATAATAGGAGAAGTAAAAAGTTACACACGTCTATATTCTATATTTCTATATATGAAAAGTAAAAAGTGACACATGTCAGCACCATAAAAATTCTCTATTTTTTAGTTTTAAAAGTTAAAATTTTAAAATAATTTAAATCTACATTACTTAGTAATTTTTAATTTAAATTTAAAAAATCAATATATTATATATTTTAAACGAATTGTTTTTAAAATTTAAAAGTTACCACGTTTAAGAGCCTTTAATTATTTTTTAAAAAAACTGTCAAAAAATTTAAAAAACAAAACTGTCAACTGCTACACGGCTATAGCTATATAATATGTCTTTTAATCTTTTTTTTCTCAATCTCTTAATAATTGATTTTACTCTCTTTGCTTCTCCATTTCTGTATCATCATTTTCCATTTATTGATCTCTGGAAAAAATTATAAATCTTCAATTAACAAAAAAAAAAGTGAAGTAAAAATGAAAGAAGATCTTTTACCCCCAAAAAAAACAGAATAATGATTATGTTTTATCAAAAAATAAAGAAGATTGAAGATCATATATTTGTTCTCTGTTTTATGTTTGTGTTATTACAAAATGAATTTAAAATGCATTTTCAATTGATTCATCCTTTTTATTTTTTATTTTTTTATGTATATGTATTATTTGTATCCACATAATAAAATTATAATTTTGATATTTTTAGGGGCGAAATACTTCTAGAACTTCATCACAGACCGAAGAATTCTCCTACATACAGGTAAAACTCGAAACTTGGAAGTCTTGATTTTCTTTTTGTTACATCTTTTAAATGATAAATAAAATCTAAATTGCGAGGATTGCTATTAGAATCTTATGAAAAATACATGTGAAATCCCATACGTTTTAGTAAATTATTTAGAATTTCATACTTTTTAGAATAAAAAACAAATGCAACTAATACCTAAAATAAAAATCAATTTCTAAGCATGTTTTTGTGGAAAAAATACGGCAATAAGATAATTACATGCACAATTTTAAAATTCCTCATGTTTTTATATTAAAAAAATTGCAGTTGAAGTTGAGACAAAAAAAAATCACTTTCTAAGCATGTTTTTGTGAAAAAAAATACAACAACAAGATAATTACATGCACAACTGGAATGTATATATACTTAAAATGCAACTAATACCTAAAATGTTGAGTGTATATATTTAATATAAATTTTGTAGAGAGGATTAGATGAAGAGAAGAAATTTAAAATAACATTAACGTGTAAAAAGCAGTCATTGAAATTCTCTTATGGTAAAAATAATATCAAACTTTTTTGCGGTGGTTTGTTTAAGCAAAGAAATAGCAACACTTACGGTGAAAAACAGTTACATAAGATATCATGGGGTTATATTTTTTGTTTGATAAAAAAAAGGCATAAATAGAGCAAATAATTAAATGCTAAACATTATTGTTAACAAACGTAGACAATGGAAGAATTCTAAGCAATAAAATAGAGAACAATAATAATTTTAAAATTTCAAAAAAACATGTAAAAAAATTATTAAATTTTGACAACATATACTGCGTTCTCTCTCTAATTTGGATGAGATTGTATTTCATATAGCGATTGAAAATACATTTTTTTGAATTTAAACAATGAAGAGATTTTGACCAAGGAAATAAAAGCATAATAAAAAATAAATAGAATTTTGAAAGTAAGAAACTATATATTTATATATGTAATACTAAAACATGCATTATAGAAGGATATAAGTGAAAAAATATATTATTTTTAAAATATATGACATAAGATTAACACAATAACGATAGACATTAAAAGAAAATGAAAAACATATAAATAAAATAATTTCAATGTAAAAGAATAAATATTTAAATTTGAGATGAGAAAATATTTGAAATATTAAAAAAAAATACTATGTAAATAAGATCATGTAATTGAAATCTTACTCTTACTAAAAACGACAAAAACAAAAAAATAGTGAAAATTTCATATATGACATTTATTAGATTAATATTTTCAAGTTATAGCAGTAGAATAAAACTTTCAAGTTGTAACAATAAAAAATTTCAGGTTATAACATTTTATTTTTTAAAAAAACATTTTTTAATTAATTGTAAAAATCTGTTTTGAAAAAAATAATATAAAAAAGGAAAATAAATTGATTTTGAAGAAAAAAAATAAAAAACGGAAATAGGAGTATTAATTAAATTTGAATTGATTGATGATAATTATTAATTAGCATAAATTTAGGAGATTCAAACTAATTAGGAATATTTGTTTTCCTTAATTCACTCTAATCTGTTAAAATTAATTAAAAAGTCTTATTTTATCCATTTTCTTCAACGTTTCTCTCTCTGCGTTTTTTTTTTTCCAGAATTGTTGTCACTATTTTACATTGGCATAATCATTTATACAAGGTATTTATACATGTTGAATACCAACTTCATTCTTTTTTTATTTTTTTATTTTTTTGTGCTAGAATATGAATTTGGATGCCAAAGGCGTATAGTTTGTATACCAATTATAAGTCAGAGTTAGTTCATGAACTCTAAATCAGTAGTATGATTTCTTTATAGTTAATAAGACATTGTAAAATCATAAAATCTAAATGTTGAATCCAATTTGTATGCATTTTGTATATAGCTGTTATCCCGAGAATTATTATAGTCAATGTGTAATTTATCTTTAGAATGGTGTATCCATTTGGAATGCAGTCTGTATATAACTAGTATCCTGCGATTACAATAGTCAATCTGTAATTCATATGTAGTTGGTATCTTTTTGGAATAAAACAATGGATATTATATATATCAACTACTTAAAGCTGTAACAAACACAAAAATATCATCCAAAAATTAAAAAAACTTGTAATTCTAAAAAGTCTAAGGTGCAATCAACTATCTCAAATTTGATCTCCGTGGTCTTGGTGTGAGATAATTGCTGATATCCGAAGCATGCTCTTTTGCTATGTGAGGTCCACCAAATTTGCTAGCAACAGTGCCAGTTACTTCACTATCACTGGTCGCGCCATCATCATTCTTGTTTTTCCATAATGCCATATGATTGTGGCATACCTTTGACGATGGTACTTTGCATCGATATCAACAAAACACATATCAAAAACTCCATTACTGATGTATTCAGCAAATAGACATGTGTACAAACCACAATCACTGGGAAAAATTGAAAGAAAAATCATTTTATACCATTTTCATACCAATGTTAAAATTTAAATACATTAATGAATAAATTGAAAAAGAAACCTTCCTATTAGAAGAATCCCAATTTCATATCAATTTTAGTCATAATTCATACAAAACAGAGTAATTTAACAATTCATACCATTTGCATACCAATTTAACAATTCTTACCATTGGGCTACTGATATCAAACTAATTTCATACCAATGTCAAAACACAATTCATACCATTTACATACCAATATTATATCACATTTCATATAATATCCCAAAATCATATATTAAAGTAAGATTCATACCAATATTATTCATTTCGTACAAGTTTCACCCAAGCAAAAGTTTCAAAACAACAATAAGCATAATGTGATATTTTTAGCAAAAAAATCACTAATTTGAATAATGTGAAAATAAATTAAATATAATACTTACCCTAACAACTTTTTTGCCTTTTTTGGATATTGGAATTTCTGATTCCTTCTTTTTTGTTGTTCTTCTTGTTGATGATTTTGAAGATTGAACAACTTCTACATTTGTTGTTTTTTTCCATTTTTCCTTTTTTATTTCACTAACAAAATCAGAATTCGAATCAAAA